AGTTTCATTCTGAAGTTACTTCAGCTTTAATTTTATTTCAAGAACCCTGTCAGGAATTGCTTCTCAGGGTGTTTGGATGTTTGATCAGGGAGAGAAGATGAGGAAGCATTGTTTGTAGCCTACCCTACCTTAGTCTCCGTTAGTAACTCAAGCCCTTTGCCACCCAGTCCATACCGACACATAGCAACCGTATTAATGGCAATATGAATTTTTTTTATTAGATGCTTCAGAGTCTCTGAATATTAATTATTTTTAAATAAATATATTCCAGAGAGGGAAAACTGAAGTTCTGTTCCAGTCCCACTGGTTGTGCCAGGTTGGGGAAAGAGAAGGCTTCTTTGAAGATACATATCAACATGATGGATACCGATTTCAAAACTACCCTCTCCCGCCACTAGTCTAAGAATTCACTTTCTGGGATTGAGCTAGGGATGGTTTTGATTCTTAAGCATTTTTGCCAGAATCACAAATAATGAAAAGGCAAGGACGAGCGAACTCTTCTTTCTGACGCAGTTCTTTGGTTGTCTAAGGGGCTTGGCTTTGGAGACCAATCATTGCAACAATTTATCTGCCGCATTGGAATCTATATTAGACCATACATACCAATCGGAAATGTGATAAAAACTTCAGTAGTTTGATAGACTTTCTTTTTCTTTACGGGCAGGGTGAGTGTCGTGAGAGGAACTCGGGCTCTGGAGTTACAAGGATCTCTGTCCCTTAATGGCAGTGTCATGCAGGCAGATCACACCTCTGCTCCATGAAATGTGGACCATGACCCCACCCTCAGAGGGTTGTTCTAGGGTTAGATGAGTTAATGCATGTAAAACACCCGGAGTTGCTTTTTTTGTTGTTATGTGCTGTCAAGTTGGCTCCAACTCACTACGACCCTGTGTATAACAGAACAAATCACTGATATGTTTGAGCCCATTGTTGCAGCCATTGTGTCAGTCCATCTCAAGGAGCGGTTCCCTCGTTTTTGCTTACCCGCTACTTTACCAAACAGGATGTCTGTCTTAGTTACCTAGTGCTGCTATAACAGAAATACCCTAAACGGGTGGCTTTAACAAACAAATTTATTTTTGCACAGTTTGGGAGGTTAGAAGTCTGAATTCAGGGTGCCGGCTCTAGGGCAAGGCTTTCTCTCTCTGCTGGCCTTGGGGGAAGGTCCTTGTTCCTTGGTTCCTTGGTGATCTTCATGTGATATGGTATCTATCTTCCCCCATCTCTGCTTTCTTGCTTCTTTGCTTAAATCTACTCCTTTTATATCTCAAAAGAGCTTGACTCAAGACACACCCTACACTAATATTGTTTCATTAACATAACAAAGATAACTCAGGAGCCCTGGTGGCGCAGTGGTTAAGAGCTGTGGCTGCTAACCAAAAGGTCAGCAGTTTGAATCCACCAGCTCCTTGGAAACCCTGTGGAACAGTTCTACTCTGTCCGATAGGGTGGCTATGAGTTGGAACTGACTCGATGGCACCTAACAACAAATGGATTATAACCACAGGTATAGGAGTTAGGGTTTACAGCACAGTTTGGGGGACACAACTCAATCCATAACAATGTCCTTTTCTAGCAATTAGTCTTTCCTGATGACGTGTCCAAAGTAGGCAAGACGAAGTCTCGCCATCCTCACTTCTAAGGAGCATTCTGGCTGTACTTCCTCCAAGATAGATTTGTTTGTTCCTCTGGCAGTCCATGGTATAGTCAATATTCTTCACCAACACCATAATTCAAATGTGTCAGTTCTGTTTGGATCTCCTTTTTCATTGTCCAGCTTTCACATGCATTTGAGGCTATTGAAAAGACTGTGGCTTGGGTAAGGTGCACCTTAGTCCTCAGAGTGACATGTTTGCTTTTTAATACTTTAAAATGGTCTTTTGCAGCAGATTTGCCCAATGCAATGCATCTTTTGATTTCTTGACTGCTGCTACCATGGGCATTGATTGTTGATCCAAGTAAAATGAAATCCTTGATAACTTCAATATTTTCTCTGTTTATATTGATGTTGTTTATTGGTCCAGTTGTGAGGATTTTCATTTTCTTCATGTTCAAGTGTAATCCATACTGAAGGCTATAGTCTTTGACTTTCATCAGTAAGTGCTTCAAGTTGTCTTCATTTTTAGCAAGCAGGGTTGTGTCATCTGCATGTCACAGGTTGTTAACGAGTCTTCCTCCAGTGCTGTTGCCGAGTTCTTCATATAGTCCAGCTTCTCAGATTATTTTCTCAGCATACAGATTGAATAAAATGAAAGGGTACAACACTGACACACACCTTTTCCAGTTTTAAACCACACAGTATCCCCTTGTTCTATTCAAACGACTGCCTCTTGATCCATGTATAGGTTCCTCATGAGCACAACTAAGTGTTCCAGAATTCTCATTCTTCCTAATGTTAGCCATAATTTGCTATGAGTCATGCAGCCGAATGCCTTCGGGTGGTTGATAAAGCACAGGTAATATCTTTCTGATATTCTCTGCTTTCAGCTGCGATCCATCTGACATCAACATTGATATCCCTCATTCCACGTCCTCTTCTGAATCTGGCTTAAACTTCTGGTAGTTCCTTGTTGATGTACGGCTGCAGCTGTATTTGAATTATCTTCAGCAAAATTTTGCTAGCATATAGTATTAATTATATTGTTCGATAATTTCCGAATTCCTTTTGATCACCTTTCTTTGGAATGGTCACAGATATGAGTCTCTTCTAGTTGGTTGGCCCAGTAGCTGTCTTCTAGATTTCTTGACATAGATGAATAAATGCTTCCAGCATTGTATCTGGTTGTTGAAGCATCTCGTTGGTGTTCCATCAATTCCTGGAGACTTGTTTTTTGCCAGTGACTTCAGTGCAGCTTGAGCTTCTTCCTTCAGTACCAGTGGTTTTTGATTACATGCAACCTCCTGAAATGGTTGAATGTCAACCAGTTCTTTTTGGTACAGTGACTCTGTATATTCCTTCCATCTTCTTTTGATGCTTCCTGCATCATTCAATTTTTTGCCCATAAAACATTTTAGTAATGCAACTCAATGCTTGAATTTTCTCTTAGTTCTTTCAACTTGACAAATGCCAGTTGGGTGCTTCCCTTTTGGTTTCTAACTCCGGGTCTTTGCACACGAAGAGTAGTGTCATTTATTGGATATGAGCTCTATAAATGTAAGTTTCTTCCCTTCCTTATTTGCCCTTATCACTACCAAATGCGTGAGGGGATCTAAAGTTCTCTTGAACTACATATTTAATCTATTCTTGCCCTTCTTCTATAAGAAGATTAGGGAAACTTTGAAATGTTTATGCAAGATTATATCTACTAAAAAATGCCCGATTGGAAGTGGAAGTCATGAGTATCCTTTCCAGGAAAAATCTTCTACAGAGCCTCCTGCCTCTCCCTCCTGCCATGAGCTACTCTCCCTATGTTCTCATTTCCAATTTATACATATTTTAAACAGTAAACAGAAATTCATCCTTTGGGGGAGACTGAGATAACCATGCTAGGCTTTGAGGCTGGAATTTTAAGGGCTAAGTAAATATCAAACTTGATTGTGTAGACTTGGGAACCATTCAAATGTATGGGAAATAGTACTTTTCATATTCATGCAAAATGTAATAAAAGGTATTTATATTGATTATATATTTTCTTTATGTTTATTTTAATTTTAGTCTCATAATGCTGTTTTGGAAATGATGATTTTCATTTTTTTAAAAATTTAACTTTTCATTTAGAAGTAATTCCAAACCTCCAGAAAATCTGCAAGAATAAGAATGGTATCCATATACCCTTTACCCAGATTTGCCTATTGTTGGCATTTTACCCTGTTTACTTGATCACGTACTGTCTTTCTGTGAGTGTGTGTATGCAAATGATGTATACAGTATGTACAGACAATGCATACATCATATTTTTTTCTGAACCATTTGAGAGGAAGTTGCTTATGTTATAGTTCTTTACCCCTAAATACCTCAGTATGTATTTCCTAAGAATAAGAATTATTCTCTTATATAATGACGATACAGTTATGAACTGGAGTAAATTTAGCATTGAGATAAGACTTTTATTTTATCTTTTGTCTGTATTGAACCACTAATGTCCTGTATAGCATTTGTAATTTAAGAAGAACTTTCTCTCCCTTAGAAGTATATGAATGCACAGAAAGTTCATATGGCACTCAGACTTACAGTGTAAAATTATGCTGTGGCGTCAACCTCTTGGGCACTGCATATATTAGAATATATTTCTGTTAAGTATATTTTATTTTCAGGTAGGTTTAGATTCTAGATGATTTTTTAGATAACTTGTTGGCTTTTAATTGAGCACAGACTGGCATTCTTTGATGCTGTTTGCACTTGGTTAGGTGCCATCGAATCGTTTCTGACTCATAGTGACCCTGTATACAACAGAACAAAACACTGCCCAGTCCTACGCCATCCTCATGATCATTGTTACACTTGAGCATTGTTGCAGCCACTGTGTCAGTCCTTCTTGTGGAGGGTCTTCCCCTTATTCGCTGACCCTCTACCAAGTATGATATCCTTCTCTAGGGACTGATCCCTTCTGATAAGATGTCCAAAGTATGTGAGACGAAGTCTCGCCATCCTCGCTTCTAAGGAGCATTCTGGCTGTACATCTGTATTAACTAGATGTAAATGTTTAATAAGGAGCCTTTGTGGTACAGCAGTTACGCTCTTGGCTGCTAACCAAAAAGTCGATGGTTTGAACCCACCCAACGGCTCCATGGGAGAAAGACCTGGCAATCTGCTTCCATAAAGATTGCAACCTAGGAAACCTATTGGGCAGTTCTACTTTGTCACACGGGGTCACTATGAGTCAGAATCGACTCGATGGCACCTAACAACACCAACAACAAATACTTAATAGAAGCCCGTCCCATGAGTAGTATCCTATATTGCATCACAAAAGCTACAATTTTGAGACTTACTATGCTGTCTGCTGCTCAGATCTTAATTCTCTCTCTAACATGCTGTCACTGTTCTTTTTTGAATATAGATCCCCCTCACCAGCTCAGGTACTGTGCCATACCTTGAATTCCTGTCCAGGTTTGGTGGAATGGACCTAAATGTAAATGTTATAAAGAGGTAAGAGTTTTGTTTGCTCAGGTGAAAATGTGAAATTTGAAATAATGAGTAAGAGCTATGACATCATGCCCTTAGAACTAATTATATCAACAGATATACAGTGAAACTGTGAGAGCTAGCACTCGACAGGACTGCCTTGTTTTCCTGGGTCTTGCAAATTTTCCACCTTTGACAGGGTTCAGTCTTACCACTTTTCTTTCACTCATTTTAATGGAAAATATTTGAGTTTTCCTTCTGTGACAGGTTTCCACTTTACACAGGCTTTGTCCCGTCAAGAACTGATGCCTTTGAGTTATGGTGCTAGTGAAGAATACTGAATATACCATGGACTGCCACAAGAATGAATAAATCTGTTCTGCAAGAAGTGCAGCCAGAATGCTCCTTAGAAGTGAAGATGGCAAGACTTCATCTCACTTTGGACATGTTATCAGGAGGGACAAGTCCCTTGAGAAGGACATCATGCTTGATAAAGTAGAGGGTCAGTGAAAGAGAGGAAGACCTTCAACGAGATGGATTGACACAGTGGCTGCAACAATGGGCTCAAGCATAGCAGTGATTGTGAGATTGTGAGCAGGCAGTATTTCATTCTTTGTACATAGGATCACTGTGAGTTGGAACCGACTTGACGGCACCTAACAACATGGGTCCAAAAAGTCTCAGGCTAGGAATTTACCTAAAAGTGGCCCTAGACTGAGTGTGCCCTTCTGTGGAGGAATGCATCTTCAACCTATCCCTTAAAGTATTCTCACAGATAAAGTGCCAAGTAACATCAGACCACCAAAAAACAAAAATCTTAAAAACATATGAAGTACAAAGAATGAAGGCTGAACACCAATAGAAGCAAAATCCAGTAGAATCACATTTCCAAACACTTAAAATTTTGTAACTATCAGATGTAGTATATAAAACTAGTATGTTTTAATATGCTTACAGAAATGAAAGAAGGGATTAAAAATGAATACAAAACAAGAAGCAAAAAAAATGACAAGGATGATTTGAATAAGTACAAAATAGAACTTCTAGTACTCAAAAAAAAATCTGTAGATCTAAAATGCAGTGGATGAGTGAAAATGGTGGATTAAACAGAGCCGACGAGCATTAGTGGAGTGGAAGATAGATCTGAAGAAATTATACAGAATGCAGCACAAAAACAGAGATACAAAATCAGGAAGACAGGTTTAAGAATAGACATGGAGGATAGGAAGAGAAAGCCTAATATACTTCTGATTGGGTTTCCTGAAAGAAGAAAAAGGGTAGGGCAGAAGTAATATTTGAGGAGATAATGACCAAGAATCTCAAGCCAGATAAATAAAAAGAAGTGCCTACTTAGGCATATCATAGTGAAACTGCAGAGCATCAAATTCAAAGGGAAAATCTTAAAAACAGAAGAAAAAAATGAATTGACTTCAGAGGAGTGACAATTAGACTTTGACTTCTCAACAGTGACAATGAAAGCTAGAAGACAGTGGAAGACGATTTTTAATGTGCTGAAATAAAATATCTGCCATCCTAGAATTCTATACTATACTTGTAAGAGTGAGCTTTTTCTGAGGGATCTCCTGGGACCTTCTCCTCTTCCAGTTATGGTATGATGCTTATCCACTGATATCAGAGTACTTGGAAAAGAGAGAAACACCTGGCACCTTTGCCTGCTGCTCAAGGCTCCAGTTCAACCAGATCTTGTATGTTATTGTTGTTGTTAGGAGTCATCCAGTCGGTTCCGACTCATAGCAACCCTGTGTACAACAGAATGAAACACTGCCCGGTCCTGTGCCATCCTCACAATCGTTTTACTATGCTTGGGCCCATTGTTGCATCCACTGTGTCAATCCATCTGGTTGAGGGTCTTCCTCTTTTTTGATGACCCTCTACTTTACAAAGCATGATGTCCTTCTCCAGGGATTGATCCCTGCTGATAACATGTCCAAAGTATGTGAGACGTCGTCTTGCCATCCTTGCTTCTAAGGACCATTCTGGTTGTACTTCTTCCAAGACAGATTTGTTCATTCTTTTGGCATTCCATGGTATATTCAATATTCTTCGCCAACACCACAATTCAAAGGCGCCAAATCTTCTTCGGTCTTCCTTATTCATTGTCCAAGCTTTCGCATGCATATGAGGGGATTGAAAACACCATGGCTTGGATCAGGCGCACCTTAGGCTTCAAGGTGACATCTTTGCTTTTCAACACTTTAAAGAGGTCTTTTGCAGCAGATTTGCCCAATGCAGTGCGTCTTTTGATTTCTTGACAGCTGCTTCCATGGGTTTTGATTGTGGATCCAAGTAAAATGAAATCCTTGACAACTTCAGTCTTTTCTCCATTTATCATGATGTTGCTTGTTGGTCCAGTCGTGAGGATTTTGGTTTTCTTTACGTTGAGGTGTGATCCATACTGAAGGCTGTAGTCTTTGATCTTCATGGGGAAGTGCTTCAAGTCCTCTTCACTTTCAGCAAGCAAGGTTGTGTCATCTGCATATTGCAGGTTATTACTGAGTCTTCCTCCAATCCTAATATCCTGTTCTTCTTCTTATAGTCCAGCTTCTCGGGTTATTTGTTCAGCATCAGATTGAGTGAGTATAGTGAACGGATATAACCCTGACACACACCTTTCCTGAATTTAAACCACACAGTATCCCCTTGTTCTGTTCAAACAGCTGCCTCTTGATCTATGTATAGGTTCCTCATGAGCACAATGAAGTGTTCAGGAATTCTTGTTCTTCAGAATGTTTTCCATAATTTGTTACGATCCACACAGTTGAATGCCTTTGCATAGTGAATAAAACACAAGTAAACATCTTTCCGGTATTCTTTGCTTTCAGCCAGGATGCATCTGACATCAGCAACGATATCCCTAGTTACACATCCTCATCTGGATCCGGCTTGAATTTCTGGCAGTTTCCTGTCGATATACTGCTGCAGCTGCTTTTGAATGAATTTTACTTGCATGTGATATTAATGATATTGTTCAATAATTTCTGCATTCGGTTGGATCACCTTTCTTGGAAATAGGCATTAATACAGATCTCTTCCAGTCAGTTGTCCAGGTATCTGTCTTCCAAATTTCTTGGCATAGATGAGTGAGCACTTCCAGTGCTGCATCTGTTTGTTGAAACATCTCAATTGGTATTCTGTCAATTCCTGGAGCCTTGTTTTTCACCAGTGCCTTCAGTGCAGCTTGGACTTCTCCCTTCAGTACCATTAGTTCCTCATCGTATACTACCTCCTATATACTGTCTACATATCAACTTGTATAAAAATAAGAGGCAGTCAGTGAATTAGTCATCTTGGGACATTGGCAGAGTTGCAGCTTGAATCTCCTGCATCTGTGGTGGTGGGATTTGTTATTCTGGTCACGACACTTCTGAAAATATGGATTGAGAGCCCACATTTTGTTCAATCTCAATAATAATAAGGGAAAATCAAATGTAAACCACTAGATACCATTTTACACCCTCCAGATTGCCAGTATTCAAACTTCTTACAGTATGAAGTTGATTAGGATGATGAAATGTTGATAAGGAAATAGAGTACTGAAACTCTTACACATAGCTAGCAGGACAATAAATCTTGAACAATTATTTTGGAAATGAATTTGGCATTATCTAAGGAAAATTGAAGATGTGCATTTATGTTCATGAGTGAGATTGGCCTATAATTTTCCTCTATCATGTTACTGACTTTGTCAAGTTTTGTTATAAAATATGCTAAGCACATGAAATGAGTTGGCTTTCTTCCATTTTTATATTCTGAAGAGTTTATGTAAGGTTGGGATTGTTTAGTCATTGACTGTTTGATAGAATTCACCTGTAAAACTCTCTGGGCTATTCCACTCTGAGGAAGTATTAGGTTGAACCATTTGAACTTGCAGATATTAGACTGTTTTTGATCTACAGAAATTGTTCTTTCCAGCAGTTTTTTGAAATTGCAAAAAATCATTTGGTTCAATCTAATATTTAGAGATACAAAAGGATGAGAAACCTCTGGGGTGGAAGGATGTAGTTGGGAAGGGGAGGGGCCTGGTACTGTTCCATTTCTTCATCTGGATGGTGGGTACACAGGTATTTGATTTTTATTCTTTAAATTTGACACGTGTTATAGTGTTTTGTATCTATTCAATATATAATTAAAACAATTTAAAAAATATTACTTTTAACATAGAATCATAAGACTTGGATTCTCGACTGAGTTCTTCTGTCTTTAACTTGGGCACAGCACTTAACCCCTCTGAGCCTCAGTTTCCTCCTATGTAAAGTGAAGTCAATTCCTGCTTAAAAGTCTCTGATGGCTTCCCCTTGCCCTCAGTGTAAAGTCTACACTCCTAGTCATGATCCACAGCACTCACCAGGGCTGGCTTCTGCCTCCTTCTCTGAAGGTACCCCACTGCATCACCCCACCTCCCCACTCCTGCCCCAGGATAGGCAGCACTCCTGCCCCTCAGGGCTTCCACACCAACTGCGGGCTCCCTTTGCCTTGCTTGGAAAGCTTTTCCTCGGAGTGGATCAAGTCTTGGCTCCTGGCTTGAAGGATCACCGTTGTTGCCCATCCCTGTCCAAAAGAGCCATCCCATCTCCAATACCACATCTATCCGTCCGCCCACCTTTATGTTGTTCCTGGCACCTGTTATAACCCCAAGTTACACTGCTTACTTATCTCCTTATTTACTGTGTTGCTGTCACTGGCATCAGACTTTTTCAAGAGTGAGAGTGGTGTCTTGCTCACCACTGCTCCCAGAGCCTGGTGTGTGGGGCACGGGATAAATACCCCCGTGAAGTGAAGGAAGTGAAGTGAAGGTTCTGCCTGTCACTCTCTACACCCACCTCCATGTCTCCTTCATGTCTCCCCAAGCTCTGCCATTTTGTTCCAAAGAGGGGCTCTGCAGTGGTTTGTGCCTGGCAATCTACTTCTGAAAAGCAGCCAGTGAAAAACCCTATGGAGCACAGTTCTGCTCTGACACACGTGGGGTCGCCATGACAGCCACTGGTTTGTTTTTGGAAGCGGTTTATAGATGTACAGATAGGGCAAGATAAAAAATAGTTAAATTGCTAAGAAAAAGCAGATAGAGCCAAGAGTATGGTATAAATACACACATCCCCCATGAAGTCCTTTATAGAGCAGCTTACAGTGCACCCACCAGAGTGAACTCTGAACTCCACGGCAGTGGGAACCTCATGGAGCAGCACAGGGATTAGGAGCAGGGCCTGAATCCCGGTGCCACCATTTACCGAGGGAGACTTTGGCTGCCTCAGTCTCCTCATCTGTGAAGTGGGGATGATAATGGTATCTACCTCATTGGGTGGTTGTGAGGATTAAATGAGATGAGGCTTGTTAAGGCTTGGCTCATTTTGCGTCAGCTATAATTATTTAATTCCCACACTACCCTGTGAGGAGTAAATGTAATTATGTTTGTTTTTACAGATGAGGAAACTGAGGCGTAGAGAAGTTAAGTATTGTGCCCAAGTGTATGCTTATGACAGATGGTAGAGCATAAGAAATGCCTTGCATTTTAAAATAATTTATTTAAAAATCCTTATAATTTTGATCTATGCCTGTCACATGTAAATGTTTATTTGGTTAAAACATTTTAACAAATTTTTTTGTTTTGTTTTAAATTTTAAGGGGATCTGGGAATGACATGGATCAATCCCGGACATTGAAAGAACTTGAGATCCTACTGGGAGACAAGGTAATCTTTTTTTTTTTTTTTTTTTT